TTTACATGGTTATATCCTGTGTTTCCTCTTCTTACAGATCTTCAACGTGTTCAACTTAGTCATTTTTATTTCATTTGTCTTAAACGTGTTTTATTTTGTCTCGGTTGGAAGGATTTTCTTTTTGAGTATTTGTTTGATGAGTCATCACTTGATGATAGATGGTAAGTTATTGGAATAAATATCTATGTGCTCTAGCTGATTATATTGATGGTGAAATGCTTTTTGAAAATGCTTCATTGAATAGGTTTCGTCAGTCTTGGGTGGAGAGAGAGTATTCTATTAGATGCTTACATATTTCTAAAAGATTTGTTGATAACATTTCAGTATTGGAAAGATGTATGGGTTGGATTTCTTCTAATTCTTCTCTTTCTTCTTTACCTTCATATGATATGGAGGAGGTTCAACTCCTCCGTTTTTTTCCTGAATCGTTTTTTGTATATTAGTTAGTTGATATCTCTGTGGTTTTTCATTTGCTCATGTGTTTATGCTTCTTCTCTAGTTGTTTCTTGTTAGTTTTTTATCTTTTTATTTTTTCTCTATTATCTTATGTACTTTAAGGACCTTCTGGTCATCAATCAATGCGTAAATAAAAAGAAAAAAAGAAAAACTTTATGTCTTGTTAAACATACCTTCGTTCATTATATATGATTGTCGACAAAAGACAATATCTTGTATTTGTTGAGTTTCTTCTGGTAGAATAAGATCAAATTTCGATATAAATGTAAAACATGTATCAACTTGATTGATAGTTTGATTCGATGGAAAACGTTGTTGCAAAAAACATTCTAATCTTCGATCTATATTTGTAACTGTACTTTCATCAAACAGATCATGTGAACAAGATAAACGAAATGATAACCTATTATTCTCCAACAGTGGATCAAAGATAAATGTTAACATAAAATCAAACTTAGCCACTTCAAACGATTGTTCAAATGACACTTGTTTGAGACTTGTTCCATCCAAAGATAATTCATCGCTCTGTGACGATATAGTAATAAAGTCATACATTGTTTCGAGAAATGAGATACTCGACTGATTAATATGTAAATTAGCAAGAATGTGTTGAAGTGGATAATGAGAATGTTCAAGAATTGATAGAAATTTTCTTGTACATATTCAACAAGATCATGAAATGGCAAATGAGGATCAAGTTGAATACGATATGGTAATGTAGAAACAAACATTCCAACTGTATTTTGCAGTTCAAATTTGTATCGATTAGCATTAAGACAAGAAATGCATAAATCATTTTCACCATGAGTTAACTTGAAAAGAAAAGCATATAATATACTTAGACCTAACTGAAATGGTGTCACATGATGTACAGAGGCATAATCAAGAAATAATTGTGAACTTTTGTTGTCAAAAGAGATTTGAGTGACAGAAGCAGAACTCGATCGATTATCATTAGACAAACGATGTCGATCAACTGGTAATGATAATCGAGATTCCAAATTGTGTGCTTTTAATTGCAAATGCCAGAATTCACGAGACGTTGTCATGTCAATTAGACGTTCATGTATACTATAATCGATATATTGCAATGATTCATCATCTTCTATTGATGTTGCATTAGTATTATAAGCTAAACACAGATCGTTAAAAAAGACTGAACGACTTGCTCGATCGAATGCTGCATGATGAAAAGCAATGAGGAGAATATCAGAATTCATTATGAACTCATTGCTATTATTTTCATTTTCATTTAATGATATTTGATGTCTCAGAATTTCAGCATGAAAAACACGACCAGTTGATAAATCGAAGAGCATGGGATTAATAGTTGTTTGATAAATAATATCTCGAAGTTCATTTTCATTTTGAAATGTTTGATTCACAGTTATTGTGAATGTATCATGTACATCTGTAATGTACTGTTTCAAAATACCATCATCATTGTTAAATACAAGAGATGTACATAATATTTTATGTTTATTCAAAACATATCGAAATGCTTGTGATAAACGGTTGAATGATAATGATCCTTCAACAACTTGTAAAGTCGATAGTTCGTTATAGATAGCAATATCACTCGAAAAACGAACTTGCTCATCGAGATATATACGTTCCTGAGCAAAAGAGGCAATACCTGTCAATTAAACAATAGAAATTATTTTAATATTTTTGCTAGTAAATATTTCTACCTTCATTTATATGCAACGTGTACCATTGTGTTGCCTTGATATTATTCGCTGCAACTGTTTGAAGTAATTGTGAATGTTGAAATATAGTTGGTTGTTGAAGGAATGGAGCAATCGACAGTGTATGAGCATCAAAGTTAAATACTGATTGATAATGAGGATAAAGTTCAACAAATAAAAGTGAATGACCATCAACACTAAAAAAATTGGTAGTTCTAGAAATTTGATTTTCATTAGAATGAAGGACTTGACACCAACTAGCGTGTATACGTTCTTCGAACTGATTAAGAGGAGTATTAGATTTATCGGACGATAACAAAGTTGATAAGGAAAACTGGGGTGAAGGAAGTTGTTTTCGATCTATTTTTCCATTTGGATTCAAAGATAATTTATCGAGTATAATAAATATGGATGAAATCATATGTGGTGGAAGATGAGATTGACAATATTGACGTAGTTCTTCTTCATTCACATTAGAAGATTGAATATAAGCAACTAAATAATCATCATTCCATTTCATGACAACACAAGCAGAGATAGATATAATGTTAGGTAAACATCGTTCGATTTCACCAAGTTCAATTCGTTGTCCATGTAGTTTGACTTGATGATCTTTTCTTCCTTGACAATAAAGAAGACGATTGTTATCCATTGTAACAAGATCACCTACTCAATAAAATAATTCGCCATCAATTTCAATGAGTGCTTTAGCAGTTAAATAGTCATTTCCAATATATTCAGCAAAAACACCAATACCTCCGGTAAATAATTCTCCTTTTTGACTAATAGGTGTGGTGTGCGAGAATTTATTTAAGAGCAGCGATTGATAGTTTGGAAGTGATCTACTGACTGAAATGCTTGCACTGTTGGACTTAATATCAACAAGATGATATGTAGAGACGAGAGTTATTCCAGTAGAACCATAAAGATTCCATACCGTACAGTGTGGTATACCAATGTTTACGATTAAAATCCTAAATTTAACAGAAAACGGTTCACCTAGAAAAAAATTAGAAACCTGCAGAACATGTAGAAGTTCATAACTTAGTTACATACTGGCACAGCAAATTGATCGGAGGTGTTTAATAGCGTTTGCCTTATCATACTGTTCGAGAAAAATAAAAAAGCTCTGAAGCAAACTTGGAACACTCTGCATGTATGTAACTTCTTTAGTATATAAGATGTGAGAGAGATAATCAAACTCAACTGTTCCTTTTGGATGAAGCAGAACCACTGTAACTCCAATCATCAGACTGCCAAGTATTTCTTGAAGCTGAAGATCAAACGAGCATCGTGCCATTTGAGCAACAGTATCATGTTTATTGAGTGTATTGCTGCCAACCAAAGAGTATATACATCCAGCAAAATTTATGTGCCGTACTTTAATCTATTCGATTGTATAGGAATGAAAATACAGATAAGAACCCAAATGTCGACATACCGCTTTCGGTACTCCCGTTGAGCCACTTGTGAAAATGATATAAGCAATATTATATGATGTGCCTGTAGTACTTGATAGTCGATCAACGTTAACGTCACTGATTATATTATAATCAATCCATATTGAATCAATGCCAGCTGAAACAATTTTATTATTAACCTTGGATTATGTCATCCAATGAACAAGAACAAGACGACTTTGTGTTTGTTCTATGAGAGTATGTAAACGATGTTGTGGATTTCGAGATGACAATGCAGAATAGACACCACCACTCATTTCAATCGCCATCATGCCAATCATCTATATAATATCAAACCTTCAGTCACACTAAACACCAATCTCAAACAAACAACTCACCATCGACAAACTTCTCTCGACACATTGACAAATAATATCACCTGGAACAATAACATATTTATTTATAAGATGTAAAGGTAATATTTGGACATAATGTAAAAGTTCAGCATATGTCAAAAATTGTTCATCAAGCTCAACAGCTAGTTTTTGTAGGTGTTTTATTACTTGATATACAAACTCATGATGAATACAAGTGACAGTAGATGAGAATGATACTTGTGTGTTATTCATTGATTGCATGATTAATCTTTCATTTGGTAATATTAATGATATTTCATAGATTGATTTATTCATTTGATCTTCAACAGATATAAATAATTGTTTCAAGATTGAATGAAATCGTTGAGATATCTTATCAATTGTTTGTACATTGAATAAATCAAGTGATGCATTGATTGTGCATGAGAGTTGATTGATATTAAGATCATGTTGAATTATAAGTGAGAAATCATACTTATTAGTAATGTTCATTGTAAAAGGTATGGAAGAAAGTTGACTATCACCAATCATTATTAGTTTATTGTCACTTCTAGTCATAAATGATAGAAACTGAAATGATATATTAAGAAATGCAGGTTTTGAAACATTTGAATGTTGAACGAGAATACGTTGAAGAGGAAAATATGAATATTTCATACTATTTGTTGACATCTCTTGAATATAATCAAGTAAATATTGAAAAGACCAGTGAGGATCTAGCTGACATCTCAATGGAATAATATTCTCAAACAGTCCAATTGTAGATTTCAGTTCATCTCTATAACGATTGTCGATATTCATTGAAATACATAAATCTTTTTCACCATTCGTTAATTTAAATAAGAAGATACAAGTAACGTTCATCGAAATTCGATTCACTTGACCCTAGACTGTCACTGTTTGAGTGTGTATATTATTGTAGTTAGGTATAAGTAAGAATTAATTAATATTGATTATAGATAAAGCATGTATCAAAGTAACTGTTGCATGAAACTATTTAATTGATTATATAATAGATGACTTTGTTGCACATAAAAAAGTAGTCGTCAATATGACATCTTTTCTTTGATGCAAAGACTATCAGAACTGCAATTTTAATCGTTGTTGCACAAATTATGCGTCGCATTATGTAATCGTCCTATTGTTTGTAAATATATAGATTTACATTTTTAAGTTAATTGTATAAAATCGTTACAATTTCTTTAGTATCTTTAGTTCAAGATATTGAATTACTGCAGACTAAACTAAAACTGCTTGTAGATTGTAGTATATGTACTTTATATTACTGATCTTTATCAGTAATGTAAACTAAACTTATAACAAAAAATAAAAAATTCAAACAAATATAAATGAAATTAATTAATTCGTATGTTATATAAAATGATATTATTAATTTAGAATCTTTTATTCAGAAAAATATTTTCGTAATGGTTTTTCCATAAAAAAAAGAGTTATTTGCGTGAAAAATTATTACATTTATATAATATGAGATGGATAATATGTTCATATTCTTTTAAGCAATACTAATTTACATAATTATAGATTATTTTGTTGTTGTATATAAATAGAACAAAAGATTTTCGAAGTGTTGTTGTAAAAGTAAAACTTTGTTTGGATCATAATTGTTCATCAATGAAGGATGTAAGATTTGCATGATATAAAAAATTTCGAACCCAATATCATCGCGTCGGTGATCATACCAATGTACGCAGGTTTGAAATAAAATTTTATATAAATTGTTACATTCGTCAGTAATAGCAATACGCCATCCATTAATTATCGCTTTATTTAATGTACGACTAATAACATTATGAAGTTTCTGATACTGTTTACACCTTTCTTTGCAATATAATGTAGGAATATCAGTCTGAGATTTTTCACACCAAGCACATAATTTTGGAAGCTTCATTTAAACAATAGACGCTAATAATGTTTTGCTACTAACGATATTAAAGAATAGAAATGTATTGTAGAACGCATTAGGCGCCTCGTTAATACTATTGAGTAAAAACAAATATTGAAAGATTATGTGCAAACAAAATTTATTATAGATCAGAAAGTCGAAAGTGTTTATTTTTTTAAACATATTCTACTAAATATGTTGACTATATAACACATAATCAAAAAAAACATACGATATACCTTTACGATAGATAAGCACAATAGTGACCACAGAAGTTTCTATTAAATAAATATGTTAACCAATATTATAATAAATTATGAGTTAGCATAAATGAAAGATAGTCGATAGAACATAATATTATCAAAGAAATAATGTTTTGAAAGAATGACAGAAGTAATGATGAATAGAACATGTTATTTATTTTATTATTTTTAAACATGTGACGAAGTTTTCCATGACTGTATTTTATTTGAAGTTTAAAACTATACAAATAAAAGAATTTAATCAACATATTTTATTTATTGTATGCATAAATTTATAGAACTATATTTATAGTGATGAAAGTTTATAAGTCAAATAAAAATCAGCCGATAATTTAAAAATTTTGATTAATAAATGTGTCGACAAATTTTTGTTGTAATTGAAAAAAATCATTATTAGATCCGAATTGTGCGTGTGATAAAGAATAATAATTAGGTTTATTGATGTTTAATTGACTAATTGGTAAACATAAAAAATTTTCCATTTGAAAATCATGTGGATATAACAACTTGAAACTTCTTTGACAGTATTTCACAATACGAAGTGCAGTACGACCAAGTTTCTGTAAATCATTTATTAAATTAAAGCAAATAAACGTGCCTGTATTTAATGCACGAATAAATGACCATGTAGAAAGTACTTCTGTACCATTATACGCCACTTGTACAATATCTACATCAAATGCCATTAAATAAGATTGAATGGAAGATACTGATGGATGATAAATAAATTGTAGTATTATCTTATTTTCATTATTTGATTGGTTTAAAACTTCGGCCATTGTCGAAGCAAATATAACTTCGAGTTGATATACTCGTCGTTTTGATAAAATCATATGTTTGACAATATATAAATTGGTTAGTCTTTCTCGTATATTGGTCTATGTATGACATGAAAACAAAATATTTAAATGTTTATATTTAAATTTTTTTCATACAAATGATTGAAAAAAATCGTTAAATGTATGACCAATATAAAAAAAGTCAAGATCAGATGATATAGGTTGTGATACATTGCGTAACATTGATATTAAAACTGAACCACCAGCCAAAATAAATTTGTTAAAATCGATAAAAGGAGCTATTTTATCGAATTGATATCGTTGAATTAAATTTGAATAAAATTGTTCGAAATTAGAAATAACATGTGGAGGTACCGGTGGATATTGACCATGTAATTTGAAAAAGTGTTGCTCATAAGACGTTAAAGAATCAGGTTTTAATAGAACTAAAATAATCATAAATGTTTTTTAGATAAAAATTTTAGTTTGTTAATATATCTCATTGACAAAGATGGATAAAATACGATATATCACGTGGAGTAGATCTTATAAAATATTATTTAATTTAAAAAAGTGTCTTTGAAATTTTTTATGAAAAAATCTAATTGCAAATTACTGCTTGACAAGTCAACTGTGATCAAGTTTTTAGAATGTATAGGATAAAACCTAATTATATAAAGTTAGAAGTTTATTGATATTATATTCTTTTTCATATTTTTTTTACATGTTGAGATATTCTTTTTTGACCTAAGTCAGCGAGATAGTTGTAATTTATACTTCAATACAGATATTTAAATATGAAAGAATAAAGATGGTTTAGAACAATTAGATTACTTATTTTTTTTATAGAAGAGAGGATTCTATCAAAATGAGAAAAATAAAGAGACTTACATGGTACTTTGAAAATATTGACAAGTGTATATTTTGGTCGATAAACAAAAGGTGAATAAGAAAATAATCGCACATATAAAGAAAAGAGATCAGTACGATAATAAGCCCATACTTTATTTAATGTATGAACATCAAACGATTGTGGTAATAAATAGGGCCATGAAATTAATGTATCTTTTAACAACACGAAGTCTTCTTTCTGAATATAAAAAGAATTATCTGTAATGATAGCTTGAAATAAATAATATAGATTAATTTGATTTGATGATCCCAGTATAGTCGCAAGGAATCCATCATTAACATAAAGATATTCGTGTAAAGTATGACTAACTATAAGTTGATCGTGGCAAGTTAAAGAATTATCAACGATTTTTTGAATAACGAGTGATGGTAAAATGTCACGATTCATTAATAATAAAATAGAAAATTAAATGTAATAGAGCAAAAATTTAATATTAATAATAGTTAAACAAATGATTGTAAGATAATAAAAATGTAAACAATGCGGGAATTTTTTCGAAAATGTAGAGATTTTGAATAGAATTAATCTGTATATATTATTTTCATAGAAATTAGATAAAAGGAAGTGACTATTTCAAAAAAGAGAAAATATTATAAAACATGTCGTACTATATGTTATTTATCGTTTTATTCGAATAAGTATACATATTTTTTTATGATTATTAAAAACAAAAATAAAAAGACAAATGTTTTACATTGTAATCTTTTGTAAATATATTTCGATCAGTTATTAATTGTTGGATTCTTCATGTAAGTTACTTTCGATTGAATCGACTACATCGATAAGCTCTGATGTTTCAGTAGAATTGTTTAATTCTAAGTTAGTATCGTTGATTTCCGACTTGCAATTCGGAATATCTTCATTGCTTTTTATTTTTGATTTATCTAAAAATATTATTTATTCATACGATGATACTATTTTAGAACATCACATTAAAATAGAACTCAATCAAACTCATTAAAAAAATAAGAAGAAAAGTATGATGTGAAAATAAAGATTTATAAAAATAGTCGTAAGCTTAGTTTCGCTTAAACTAAGATATGAAACATGAAATACTATATATATTACGAATTGTAATTAATCTTACGAAAGAAATTGAAATGAGTTGTGTATAAATTAACAAGTTTTTTTTATTGATGTATCAGTAAATACGATAAATCTCATCTATTAAAATATCTATGCCACAATTTATAATTAGTGATGGTAGCGACGTCAGTACAATTTTTAATATCAGAATTGTCATTGGTTCTGTTAGTTCGTATATCAAAAATTAATTCACAAAATAGGAAATGAATATATATGTACTAAAAATCATTTTTTTATTATTTAACTTCAATATATAGAAGAGTGAATAGTAAATCTTAGATAATGAGAATAAAAAATTAATATTCTCTTACTAATTATATTTGAATTTTGTCGTTCAATAAATTTTATTATTCCTGAACTAATTTCATAAATGCATTGAACATTTGACAACATGAACTGTTGTTGTTCTATTAAATTGTACAGCATAATTTCGGTAATTTTCGAAGAATCTTCTGATATATTAAGACATTGTAAAAGGCAATCGCGGGATACAAATAATGTATATTCTTCTGTAGGCGATGTTTCTATTGTAGCCATATAAGAACACGTATCGTTGTTGTCCTTATTATAACATAGATCTGGTTCTAGTCGAATAATTTTACCATCTATTTTTTTCAATGAAGCTGTTAATGAAGTAGTATCATATGATACATCAATTAAATCAGGAATAAGTTCAAATCTGAAAAAGCAAAGATAATATTTTAAATTATTAAAAATATCTCAAGTAAATTTAATCTGATAAGATTTATGACATTTTTTTTGTAAATACGTTTCATCATAAATGAAAAATAAAACTAATTAAATATGAAATCTCTTTTTGTGATAAAATCAACTTTGTTATCTTTAATATTCTTCTAAGAATTCATCATTTAATGAAAAAAAATTTCCACAAAGTGATGAGTCGTAGTAGTTTTTTATTGTAATATCAAGTTCATTTTGAGCTACAAATAATTCTATACTATATAGAAAATTTGACAGTCACTAAAAGAATATATAAAGATCATTGGCAGCATTCTGTCTTATATTAACAATAAAGTTTGATACACTCAAAACGCACGGAGCAGTATTCGTCGTCAAATACAATCAATTATATGTAAATAAAAGTTTATTAGTAAAACAAATCTTCTTTAAATTGCTTTTTGTTGGTCATCAATGCTCTTTAGAAAAATTCTAGTTATTATAAATTTAAACTTTAAAATAACTCTTATTCGACTAAATAGTAAGGATAAAAAGCAACATTAAGAAAAAATTTTCTTTCTACACTTTTTTAATTAGATCTCTTATTCGCTACTTATGACTGAATGCTATTGTACTTTTATCTCGATATAAAAAATAGACATCTCATTTCCGTAATTGCGTCATGTGTATAGTAATGATGATATCTATTATAACTAACTTTGTTTCTGTGATTGCTGACAATGATATAATATCTTTGAATGAACGTGTTTTTAATGCACTTATTTTATAAGATAGACCAGAAGTTATTGAATTAAAATGAATTTCATATATGTTCAATATCATAGCACCAGTTTTATCAGCAACAATTATTTCTTTACGTAATTTTTGAGTTCGTTTATAACCAGATGTAACTGTAAATGGTTCAGGTCGATTAACATGAATAATTTTACATTCTACAGCACATATTTTTTCTTCTGCTAACGACTTTAAAAATAAAATATCTTGAGTAATGCACCATTGTGGTTGAAATGCTATTTGCTTTTCAACTAAACGAGTTTCATTTGTTATTGTATATGAACCTGCACTTGCTTTTAAATGTAATAGTTCAAATGCATGTTGATTATTAGATAATATTCGTAATTGTGCGTGTAGACGGCAAATAGCATTTGAACTTACATAACGCATTACAGTTATAACAGAACTATTATGACCTTCCATCGTTAAAGTATAATGATGATTAGAGTTGTTTTCATTTTTTATCATATTAGAAACTCCAATAACATAACCTTGTAAATTAATCGATGTTGTTTCATTAGTAGTTGTTGTAGTAAAATTAACACGTTTCATTTGTGATTGAATTATATCGTATAGATAAGAAAATGAATAGAAAATAGTTCAATAGAAGGATTCAAAAAAATAAATAAAAAGTAATTAGAATGGAAGGAATTAAAGCGAATAGCTTGAGTTTAATTTTCAAAAGATATATAATTAAAATGCGCGTAATATTTATATAAAGCATTTTATTATTCATTTTAAAAATTCTAATTGCTCTTTTACGTTAGTATGTTGATTCGTGTTAGTTCGAAGCACTTTTTGCATATGCCATCAAATGTTGATATTGAAAATGAAGGATCAATTATATGTCGCATTGTTAATAATACGAGTATAGAAGAAAATCAAGATGTCATAAAAGATGAAATTGATAATAAAATATACAATCAAGTAAATTATATCTCTGAAGATAAATATCCAATAGATTTAAGAATAACATCTAAAAAAGTAATCTACATATAAATATTCTTATATTATAATTCTCATCTTTAATACAGATATCAGATCCTATTGAAATACCAATAACATCTGAAGTATTCAAATCATCGATAAATATATTAAGATCAAATGAATTAAATAATCAACAACCTGTTTCTTGTGATCGTCCTACTAGTAATATTATTAGTTTAAATCATATTAATCTTCCAGAAATGCAAAAATTTAATTCAAAATGTTTAAATTCTATCGTATATAATGAAGAATCACAACGATATTATTGTCCAAAACGTTGTAGAAGACCTTTACGTATTATTAGTCCAATACCAATTTCAAATGAAAGTGTGAAAAAATCTATACGTAAATTTCAATCTCGACATAATTATCGTCGACGACAAAAACGTGCTTTACAAAAAGGAAAGCATGTTAATAATTGTAAATATTCATCTACAACTGATCTTAGCAAATAAATAAAAATTTAGTATATATTAAAAACGTTTTATCTTTTTTGTTTTATATCTATTTTAAATAAAAATACGATATGTATAATTAATATTTTTTTAATTGTTATTTTGCATTGTTTTTTATATCATTAGAAAAGTATTGAGAAGTTACACTTGAAAAATAATTCTATCAATTTATTTATTATCATTTAATTAGAATGTTGAGAAGGACATCAGATTTCATAAAAACAATTAAATTCATATAATATTTTGAAATAAAACAAATAGATTGAAACTTAAATTTATGAACAAAAATAAAATATTTTATTTATATGTCATAACATAAAAATCGATTTCAGGCAACATCGAAATAATAACTAACAATAAAATTGAAAATTCGAGTACCAGTAGTATTTAGTTGTTGATAAAATGTATCAATAATTTTTATTAAACAACTATGTTCTATATATTATTTTATTGTGAAATGATACAAACATATCTCGCTATTGATTTATATATATAACAATAATGCAAATTATTTAATATTTTTTTTTATACTTTCCTGTCCATAGCTAATCTTTTTTTGCAGAATAGTTAAATTTATTTAAATGTAAAAATAAGACTAATTTTATGTTCGCAATCTAGATAAACTATTTGAATCGAAATATGTTTAACGAATAAAATAAATTAAATTCTACTGTTACACAACTTATTTAAACGTTCTAATTCAATAATCATATCAGGATGTGGTTTCTGATTTAGTATCGATTGAGGAAAAGGACGTAAAATTGCTATTGTATCAGCAGATGTAAAACGTGATACTGGTACATAAACGTTTGCCAGATCAGATTTTGCATATGGAGGTGGAACTAAATCGATAATACCAGATGTCAAAGTTTTACCTTGACATTTATGTGTAGTCATAGCATAAGCAGGTACAATAGGTAGTTGAGTTCGACAAATAGTTATACTAGTTTTATTATTTAATAGTCTTTTTTGTGTTGGAGTGATAAATGATTTTAGATCGATTTTAATTGTTTTTTGTTCGGGTAGAATAGGTATCATGGTAGGTTGTAGATCAATTAAAGGCGAAGAAAGTTTAGACTGTGGTAATTCTACTAAAGCATATAATGGTGTTTGAATATATTTCGTATTAAATGGAAAGTTAGGATTTGTAATATCAGTATTATTGTTTAAATTTTCATTATGATTATCATATACCAAACGTACTAGTCGACCAATTGAACCATTTGAAATATGTAATTCTGTGGCAATATTATGTGTTATAAGAACTGGCATATTCATTACAATTGGTAGATATCCTGGTAAACCATCTGTTTTATTATCAGGCAATGAAAGTAAAAAATGTCGAAGGTCAGTATTATCAATATCATGATTTCGGACTCGATCATTTGCAACCACAACGGTTGGTAGTTGATTATGCTCAATACTTTCATCAAATACACAATAGTTATTAATATTTGTTCTAACTTCATTTCTAAATACTAGCATTGGTGCTAAATTCCATGGCGATTGTCCTAATGATTTAACATCATTGTCAGATGAAACAACACGTTTACATAACATATTGTAATCATCCTTAGAATACATATGAAAATCTATATATAAATGTATCTCATAAAACTCACATCTCTACACTGTCCAGTTCTTAATCTTTCCTGCATAGCCATAAATAATGGATCTTTATTACGCATTTGTTGCGTTAAAAAGAATACTTTATTAACTTGTAGCCAAAGTGCTCGCCCAACTTTACATTGTATATCACGTTCAGTTATATTACGCTGTCTATGAGTTAGATTAATAGTACTCACAGTATTTGCTAAACTATCAGTTGGTGATAATATATTTGAATAGAGTGGTCGATCAAGTACTGGTGGATATTGTACAAAGTCACCTAGAAATATCATATTAATGCCACCAAATGGAATTGTTGGTTCAGTATGTTTTGCTATTGTGGTTATTCTGTGAAGTCGAGCTAACATATAACAACCAACCATTGAAATTTCGTCTATTAAACAATAATCAATATTTCTCCATTCAGTTTCTATAGTTGATAGATCGGTTTGTGTTAAAGTATGATTATCATAAGTTTTATTACGTCCTTCATGTAACATCGATTGTATAGTTAAACCATCGATACCTACAGCTGCAGCTGATGATGGTGCAAGACTTCGTATTGTATGCGTTCGATTATGATAAGACATAAAAGCAGATATAGCTTCGGTCACTCTAGATTTACCACAACCTCCGGCTCCACCTAGTGTGAAATATATATATAACATTTAAAAAATGTATGTAATTAATGCTATTTACGCACCAATATACATAAGTAGTTGTTCAGGCTTTGTATGTTTTACATCTTTATTAGTTTGATAAAGTATAGTACTTGAGGGTGTGGGTGTGGGTGTGGGTGTGGGTGTGGGTGTGGGTGTGGGTG